TCATTGCCCATTTTAAAAAAAATGCTTCAACTGCAAAGGTAGTCCCCAACATCACATTCCACGCAAAAGAAAGCCAACCACATCCACAAAGCCCAAAAGCCCTCTATCCAACTGAAAAACATAAAATGACTTCCAACGTAAAAGAAATCCCCCAACTTTAGAGAATAACCACATTTACTTCCTTTTCTTTTTATGCCGCCGACGTTTGCCACCTCTATGGGAGAAGGCCTTCTCAACAATGTGATTCACATTCAAATTAAACAAAGCATCAAACTCCTCCACGGCCCCCTCCAGATCATCTTCCTCGCCCTCACCATGCGAGGACAAATGCTCATCAAGCCAATCAAATTGTTTCACACAAGAGTCATGCAATGAAGAATCCAAATGCACTTCCAAATCCTCATTAGAGATAATTGAAATAGGGATATAAACTGTTCCTTCAGAAATTATCAAGAAAGAAGTGGGCATAGCAGGACCAACTACATCATCAGGTGTTCCACTCAAAGAATCATTTAACAACTCAGTGTTCACACAAAACCCCACCTCGGTGTGAAGAGAAATATTAGGAGTAAGGTACAATAGATCCTTCACCACATTAGCTAGAGAAAAATCCTTATCAGCCTCTTGCATTGGGCAATCATAGATAGTGACAACAAGGTCAACTACCTATAAACCATCAAAATTTGCATTAACAACACCTAAATTCTACTTGACATGGCCAATGACATCCAGATCATCAGAGACCAAGATTACAGGCTCGAAAGATAGCCCAACATCAGTAACAATTGAAGGAAGCACCCCATCACTAACATTTCTCTCGTTTACATCAGCAAGCAAAACACCATCGTCACTAACATTATAATTTAAATTGTTTTGGCTGCCATAAGCGGGCTTTACACTCACATTAACTGGAGGGGGAATAACTGTTAGAGAAGGATTAATATGGTGATTTAAATTGCTGCATTCCATTTTAGAATGACCTAATGAGTTGCAATGGCCTCAATAAGAATGAAACTCTTCCATTATCACATATTGTATATACCCTAAATTTTTAGGGCCAACACAAATTCTATTAGAAAAATATTTGGTAATATCTAACTCCAACAGGACACGAGCTACGAAAGGACGATAATCAGTTGAAGTAGCATTATTCATTTTTAAAGGCTAGTTGAAAATGGAGCCAAGACCATGAAGTATTCTCGGTGAGAATAGGTGTGGCCACAAGTAGGGAAAAGAGACACACATAGGAATGATCAGTGATTGGACTTCGATATCAAGTGTTAGAGACCATCTAACCAATTTAATAAATCAGTTGCGGATAAAATAAAATCGACGGAAAAAGACTCTACAATAGTCTAAAACACCAACAAGCTTTATCAAAACATGCCTAGGGTTGAGGACAGTGACCGAACATTCTCCATTCAATTTTAGATTGAAAAAAAAAATCCTAATTGCATCAACGAAAGGTCTACGATTGAGAAATTTTGCCAACTAGAGCGAACTCAAACAGAATGACAAGCGCATTTATTTCCTCTTCTGAAATCCAAAGAGCCGGCAACCCCCGATGAGAAGAAATTTTGAGATCAAAGAAAGAAAACAAACAATGGGAAGCCCCAACTAAAACATCTTTGAATGAATGAGAAGAATTGTTCCCATTCATAAAAGCAAGGTCCTTTAAGAGATTAGCCACCATGACCAAAAAACGAAAATGATGAGGCACCACAAACAACACAAAATGAACTAGGAAAGGAAAAAAGAACTTCCCTAAGGAAAATGGCGTCGGAAGCCACCACGATGGCGAGAAGGTCGGCGCCAAAGGATATGGCACAAAACATCACGAAAATGAAGAGCACGGACTTGCCGGGAGCGCCAACCCTTTTCTATACATATTTGTTAAACAATCTCTTAGGTTATGTTTAGGACACCTTACCGATTGCTTTGTTTTTTAGATAACAATTGTAATATTGTTTGGCAATTGTTTTCTTGTTATTTTTTCACTATTTTTTAAAAATTTCCTATAATAAAAAGCTACTTTATGCAACCAATAGTACTTCATTTTTTTTTATAGAATTTGAAGTACTTATTTTTTAGCACTTCATCCACCGCATCCATTTTATATTAATATGAGTATACAAAATATATAGAATTATAAAATAAATGTTCAAAATTATAAATATTTAAATAAAATAAAAAACAACACAATGAATTAATTTTTATCATAACAAAAAAATTAAATATATTTTAATATTAAAGATCAGTCTAATAATTTTAATATTTTATCTTACAATGTTGATAAAAATTGATTCAAGATATTGTGATGACTTTCTATTCAAAATTTTAACCTAATTTGATGCTTATCTGACACTAACATTCACTTTAAAGGGGGGAAAAAAATCTAATGGGCTTTAGTTTGTAAACTATTCTTTCAATGAAATGTTGTGGACCTAATTAATTGATACTTGGTGGGTTTGATGACGGCCCAATCATGTTGTATCTATGTACGGCAGTTGTGTGTGTACAAAATGCAAACACATACAAAGTATTTTTTTTTTTAAACTTACCGATGCTTAGTTTTGGTTAGTGGGCGATACGGTTAAGAATCCTTCAACTCGTGCTCAATTACCCTCGAGCGACAGCGCCTTTTATGTGGGGCCCAATCAAGTGCGGACCATAAAGTTTCTGGGATGGGTACCTCTTCTAGATCAACCGAGGATTAGTCACACCGTAAAGCACCTTTTCAGGGGTGACAGTATATATATATATATATATATATATAGGAGAGTAAAAATTTTTTTTTGCCCCTCCTAAAATTTTTTTTTGCCCCCCTAAAAAACTCTTTTGTCCTAACTTGTCCTAAAATATTTATATATTTCTTCACATTTAGTTCTAATATTCTCTTTCATATTTTTCATGACAGTTTAATTACACTTTTTTCTTTATTTTCTTGCTTAATTTTTTTAATAAACTTTTCACAATATATAGATATATAATATTTTTTTAATATTTAATTATTTTTGTGTTGTATTTGCCCCCCTTCAAAATTGAAGCTGGTTCCGCCCCTGGCTTCTATGAAAAGTTATTCCCTTAAAATATTTACAATAGGCTCAATTTAATCTCCTTTTGATCAATTCTCCCTAAAAGATCACACAATACCATAACCAAATCAATATGGCATGCCCCGAACTGGATTCCTTAGCCTATCACATGGTTGTGCTTGTTGATATCTATGCAACATTTTCTTTATACATCATCAAAATGGGTACATAAAATGAAAATATCAGAACATGGGAATAAATATGATACAAATTATGGCTATCCATTTACGTTGTTGTGCTTTCTCAAATTACAACTTAGTATACTTGTTCACTGGAAGAGTTAAGCGAGAGTAATTGGTTTAGTAGTAGAAGGAAGAGGAAGACAAGTTAGTTTTCAATGAGCTCGAGATAGCTGCCTAACGAGAGGAAAGGACACCCGGTACAATCTTTCTTTGGTCCCATTCCCGGTTACGACTGGACGTGGGACATATATTTGAATGTTTGCTCGGATTAGCGGGGTTTTGCTAAGAAACATTATAGAATAGAACCCTTTGATGAGAGATATGAGCAATCATATGTAAAGAGGGACCCCTCACAAGTAAAGACAGTAACTTTTCAGAAGGAAGTTATCTATCCTCAATTCTACATTAAACTAGTGAAGAGAAAGTCACTATATTTTCAAAAACTCTTAAGTTCTCAAGAATTCACAAATAAAACATTAAACACCTTTCCATTTCCTTAATTGTCATTATTAATTTTCTGACAATACCATATTCCAGAGATGACTGTTATTCTCCTACAAATATTGTCAAGTCTTCTCCTCAGCTTCCAACTATTAGCCAAAATAGATAGTTCTGAAGAATTGGGGACTCTTCACATTAAATAACTCATTAAAGCTCAATGGATTTACCTTAGAGCATTGAATCACAAAACTAAAAGAAAGCCAAACTCATAGGAGGAGTGTAAATTTTTTTTTTGCTTCCATTGAGTAGCCGATAAATATAAAACCTGCAAATCAGTTTTCTTTTATCTGTTATGTTTGGTCCCAAGAAGGGCTGCAGGTATTTAATGCAACCATTACTTGATTTTACTCTGTGTTATTGTTCCTCTGTCTTTTCCGTGTGATGGAAGTCTTCAGTTGATTAAGTTACAACCACATTTTATTATCATTTTGCATGATCTTTACCATAGTAATCACCACCCTAATAATATGTTCAAATTAAAATTAAGAAATGAATTTGATATATATTAACTACATTCAACTTTTTAATCGGCGGCGACCGTTCATTAGTAGAGGGCTAATCAATTGGACATTTGATCTTTCATTCAGCGAAGATAAGTGTTTCATATAATTTATATCTTCCATGAGTCCTGCAATGGGGTGCCGAATGTTGGCCATTAAAAGAGAAGCATAATACTAAGTGTTATAAAGATGAGGATGCTTAGGTGGATGAGTTGTTTTATCCTTAGAGATAGGATAAAAAATGAGCATATATGTGAAAAAATTGGAGTAGCTCTAGTGGAAGATAAGATTAGAGAGAGTCGCCTTAGATGATTTGGTAATATAAATGGCGGCCTTTCGATGACCTGGTTAGAAAAGTAGAGGTATTAGATTTGACTTATGTGTTAAGAAATGTAGAGGTAGACCTAAAAAGTCTTTGTTAGAAAATACTAGAAATGATCTTTCTTTATTAGATTTAAACGAGAATTTGACTTTTAATAAGATACAATGGAGAAAAATGATTCATGTAGCCGACCCCACGTAGTGGGACAAAGGCTTGATGTTGTCGTTGTTGTTGTATGTGTAATGGGAAAAAAAGTTTCACAAGTGAGAGGCTAACACATAATCCATGTGATTGAACAAACCAATGTTGCATGACAAGGATTTTTTGTAATTACAAGGATAAAATGCTCAAAGTTGCTGACAAACCAAGCTTAGCATTGCTGTCAAAACCAAATCAAGGATCAGAAGAAGACCACCATATTTATTGATTGCATATGATTCATGAAACAGTTCCATCATATAACCCATTTTCTATGTTTCTTCTTCCATAGAAGTATGATCAATCAAGACCTTCATGCACATGGCTAGTAGAAAGCATACGAAAGACACTTACCTTTAGAACATAAGCTCAGAACAGCAATCGGCAGAAGAAAGCTCCAAGAAGGCATCCATCAGCCCGGTGTTCTCCTCAAGCAACCATTTCTCCAGCATGAACATTGGTGGCTGCTGGCTCTGCGATTCCAGCTTATTAAGATCAGATGCCACCATTTTGAACTGTTTTTTCTCCTCAAAAACTGAGTCCAATGCTGTTTTATCCACTCCATTAACAGAGTCCTCCAGCAACAGCTGCGAGTTGATCTCAACATTGAAATTTAATTGGTTCATAATGAAGCTGTCGTAGTTGTTGATCATTTGATGTTGCAATTTTTCATCACTGAGGGTTTGACTTGGAGAGGATCTCATCCAACCTTCAAGGAGCCTGGATATATTTTCTGCACTTGAGGCATAAGTAGAGGAGTTATGAGCGAGGATATGAGAATTAGAAGTGCCTGAATTCCTTATTTCTTCGATGGGGTAGCCTCCATGAACTCTCTCTTGGATTGTAGAGCCTGCTGAATCAGATGATGTAATGTAGTTGCTCCTTGCAGCTTGAAACGTTTTTATCTTCTTCTTGAGGTGGGTGTTCCAGTAGTTCTTGATATCATTATCTGTTCTTTGTGGAAGGTATGAAGCTATTGCTGCCCACCTGAAGAAAAAATATACATGTATCAAGTTTTGATTCAGTATAAAACGTAATTGGCCATTAAGCCTATCAATTTGTGAATGTGGCATGAGAAAAGAGAAAGAACAATGCCTGTTTCCTAGCAAGGCCTGAAGCTGAATTATAATTTCTTCTTCATGAGAGTTAAAATTTCCACGCTTAATTCCAGGCCTAAGGTAATTAGTCCACCTCAATCTGCAGCTCTTGCTACATCTCATCAATCCTGCAAGCAAACAGTTATCCTTTTCCTCAGAGGCTTTGTTTGGATTGAAGAAAAATGAAGTACATGAAATGAAATAACCACAATTTGCGGCCTGATATGAATGTGCAACCTTTGATTTTAGCTTTCCAACCTTTTAATTTCTATTCGCACAAATTCCTTGTATCCAAGCACTCACAAAAAAAAAAAGAAAAAGAAAAGAAGATTTCAGCGAAGTATAAGGTGAAAGATAAGAAAGGCACCACTATTTGTAGGGACTAATCTCCAGTTCCCAGGTCCATGCTCCTGTACATAAGAGACAAGAATGATGTCTTCTTCTGGAGTCCAAGGACCTTTCTTGATGCCGGTTTTATCACAGCAAGGAGACCTTCCCATGGCTGGCTAGCTATCACAAACCTTCACCGTTCTTCCTTCCCTTCCCCTATTTACTTTCAGCTGTCATCTTCCTTTCTTTTTCTGTTGCTTACAGGTGTCTCATAAACATGTGAGTGTTTATATATAGGGAGACTTAGGGTAGTGAGTGAGCTCCTTTTCACCTTTCATCTACCTCTTTGATTCAATTGCTCAATTTCTTTTACAAAGTCAGCTCATGAGCTCTTCCTTCTCTTCTTTTTTTTCTTCTAGGTGTTCACATGAATCAGGCCCAACCTGCCAAAAAGTAATATCTGCATTATTGGATTGAGGTTCATTTCTTGGTTGTTAATCAAAATTAAAACTTCTCCATCCTGCAGCTCCGAAACCTGCAATCAATATTATCGGTCAACAAAGATTATACTGAAAATCTTGATTGATCGAGATTATATAAGTAGTCAGGTGGGTCAAGAGTTGGAGAGATTATTTTGTGCGGGCCGGATGAGAGAATCGTGCTTCGGTGCCGAGCGCGATACACTTTTTGGGTGACATGACACATTTTTTTTATTGGTCTCTGGACGACATCCAGACTCCGCACATAATAATTTTTCCAAGAGTTGGTCCAGATTTCATATAACAGTTGTTTGCATGAAAATTTTGAATAACTCTTCCCTCATGTTTTTCAGAATATGTTTCAAAAATATTATTTTTGAGAAAACAAAATAAAATTACTGATTGATGTAACAGCCTTTAAAAAATTGTGATAGTGAAAATAGAATAGATACCCACCGCTGCTTGTCCGGGTGGTGAAGACGCAAAGCCTAGGTCCCTCGTTCGAATCCCTTGGCAAGTAGTGAAAGCCTTAAGTGTTGGCTCATATGAATTGGTGTGGGTTGCATGCTAGGTCGACTGGAATTTTTACTGGCCTAAGGATAGTGCTTCCTCGTAAAAAAAAAAAAAAAAGATAATCCATAAAAACACAAAAAGAAAAGTTTGTTGCCAATTATACGGACTGTCTATCTGGACTCTGCTGCATAAGTCAAGGGTGCTATTAATGTGGCAATAAATAATATAGTTCTAGCTAGTTTAATGCACATCTTTTCTATTGTACATACTTTAAGTTCATCGTTGTCATAACTCATGAAAATTGCATCGTTGTAATGCATCGCTGCATCTTCTACAGACTTTAACACGTGTGACCTTGACGCGTGAGCTTGCACTGGATGCAATTAATTGGCTCTTTTGTACATCTATGGTGGATTGTGGGTGTTTAGATTCAGATACTGGTTAAATTTTGCTCTACATCGTATAAATAAATTCATTTAAGAGTTACGGGCATGTCAGTTATTTGTCCTTGGTCATGTTAATTTTCCTTTAATATCCTTCTGCCCCAAAAATCATTATTGTTCCTTTTGTTATTTTGTAATATATAGTTCATTGGCCTTAGAGGTAAAAGTAAGTACAGACAGTTCTTCTAGACTGAAAAAATTTAAGAGCCCTATGAAAAGAGGAAGAACCTAATAATTTTTTTTGGCATTATTATTGCATGTCAGAAAATTCACGATGATAGAGATTGAGATTTTGTTTGGGACGGCTTTTTGTATTAGAAAGTTGCTTTAAGAAGCAGTAAGAAAGCCGTCCCAAACAAAACCTGAATTTTTATGTCTTAACTTTTCACGAACATCAAACACATATAACGAAAAATAATACACTGTAGACCAAAATTTTTATGTGAAAAATCTGAAAAAAAAAAATCATAAGGCCCGGCCCATATGTAAGGATTCATTATGCATATATGTTACAAAAGTTTGTTCGTCACACCAGATCCATAAGGCGGTACATGCTAGCAACACGGGATATGCTGAGTGGATATGAAGATATGTTTTATACTCAGAAGAAGCAAAGTGCATGTACAAGTAATATAACCAGAATTTATATGAAATCAAATATCATAGGAAAAACTGAATTTTCATTTCATTATCATATATTCAAATAACAGTACATCATCAAAATAAAACCACAATAAGCAAAGAGATATAAAAGAAACAATTGCAGAAATGAAACTTCCTAATGAACTACTATAATATATAAAAATATCAAATATATCCTATTGCTCGTAGATCTGATCCTGTAGTAATCGTCCACACTAATGCTCCGACATGATCTGCCATGGAAAGAGATAACGAGTGAATTTGATAATTCAAATCTAGCAAATAACTTCTATCTATTAAAACATAAATGACAAAAGAATGAGCTACGCTGTATGACCAATCAAACCGATATGAATAACAATATATAATTAACGTATCAATATAACAATGCCACATGTCATAGTCTCTATGACGGGTTCTAGTATGATAATATTACAAATGTATGTATCAAATTGTTATTAAAGCAATCTTATTCTAATGTTTAAAATGCAATCACGCTAGGTGTTACCCCAATATGAGTTACCAGTCATCCACCATTTTCAACTAATGTCTATTTATATATATTTATATATATATCCATAGTTGATTTCATCAAACACCCTGCAATAAAAAGATAAACACCAACTCAAAAAAAATCAGTGATTTCCAATAAAGTCAGAGTGGGCTCCAAAAATTTGCGCCCCGAGATATTCCGCAGACACCCTAATGTCGGAGCTATGCTATTGACATCGAAAATGTGCTTGTAGCCAAATCCTGTAGATAACTTCAGATATAAACATTCCTGTTGATGACCGCTTTGTTGTTTTCATTTCTTTTGGTATGGCCTATTCTGTAACCTCATTTGTGTATAAATTAAGGCATATTGAATAATAAAATGATGGATGGTTTTATTAAATTTCTGAGTTCCTTCTCTGGAGTTCGTTCTGTATCTTGACATGAGTCAGGTGATGGTGTGTTTGGTTTCTCAGTTGGCTGAGGTGTTTCGTCAGTGCCTCCTCTTCCAGGAAGTTCTTTTATAAGTCCGCCAATCTCACCGTCCCTCCTTGCTGCGAATTTCTCTCTCTGGAGCTGAGTGTCAAGTGGTATCATAGAAGGCAAGATACAGCCTCAAAGAAATCTTCAAAGACCATTCCAAGAAATCTTGATCAAAGATTTGCAGCGAGAGATCGCCCAACTGCAACAACAACTCGCTAGGTGTGAACAAAGGGAATAGGTGACACATCAGAATGAGGAAGAAGACATCAATCCCTTCCACCAAGAAAGCTCTAGTGAAGATGAAACAGTAAGGCGAACATTCGAGCGGAATAATAGGAAGCTACCCCACGATTGTGGAATCAAGCCCAAACTCCCTGAGTTCGACGACCGAATGGATCTCGATGAATTCATTGGGTGGTTACAAACGGTTGAGCGAATTATTGAATTCAAAGAAATACTTGCTGACAGAATCGTCAAACTTGTGGCAATCAGACTCAAACGTGCAGCATCTCTATAGTGGGAAAACCTGAAGAGATCAAGAAGCCGAGAAGGACGAAGCAAGATCGTTACCATGCCAAAAATGAAAAGAGAACTACATCGAAAATATATTCCTGAGCAATAAAAACAAGACTTGTCCTTGAAATTAATGCAACTACAACAACAAATGACAATGGAAGAATATGTAGCCGAGTTTGAACATATCTCCTTAAAATGCGATATGGTTGAACCTAAAGAACATACTATAGCTCGCTTCTTGGGGGGTTTGCAACTTGCAATTGTCAATATCTTACAACTTCAACCATATTGGATCTTCCAAGATGTGGTAAATTTAGCTTTGAAAGTGGAAAAACAACAAAGACGATTCAAGAAAACCTCTGGAAAAATCTTGTCACTAGATTCTTTTGGCCGAAAAAAAAAAGAAACCAGACAAGTACGTGGTCGAACCTCGTAGACCGATCGACAATCATCTAGCCCATATACAGCCTCGCGCAACTCAGCCCCAAACAACCTTCCTGTCCCACAAATGTTTTAAATGTCAGGGGTTTGGGCATATAGCGTCCAATTGTCCAAATTGCCGAGTCGTAACCCTGACAGAAGAACTTGAACTGGAGGAAGCTGCTGCTGATGGAGTTGGTTGATGCCGAATTAACATACCTACAGGGCAATGAGGGAAATCTGCTAGTCCTTAGACAAACTTTGAACAAACACAAAGGAGAAACACCAAATTCGCATGCGACCAGTGACGAGAGTAAAAGCACTTTCAAGACAAAGGAAGGCTTATACGAATGGACGGTGATGCCATTTGGTGTGTCGACGCCCCCAACACCTTCATGAGACTCATGAACCAAATTTCAAAATTCAAATCATAACATGCATGCATTTTATTCTTCGTTCACGGTGTTAGATGTTTCCTCTTTTGTTTTGTATTTTTATTTTATTCTTTTGTAGTTATGAGCTATTAATAGATCGTTGATTGTTAGTGATCTCCTGACTATAATAAAGGAGATTTTGGAGAATGAATATAGTGGAAAATTTCAATGTGTATGATATTTAATTGCTTTTGATGAATATATTTATTTATAGAAGCTCTAGTAGATTATTTAAAAGATAAATTAGACAATTTTTTCAATTTAGATCTCAGGGCGCAATAAAGGAGGCCTGGATTGGTTCAGTCTAAGAGCAGTTCACGCTCTTACAGATCTCTCCCTCAATTGGAGAAGACAGAATCACAATTTTGTATTTCTATAAGTATGAAGGAGAATGTTGGAGATGTGATAATTAGATGATGTTAATCAAGCAATGATGGTTAGACAATGACAGTTGGGTAATTGTGATCAATCGTGGTCGGATGATGGTAGTTGAGGGATGCCAGTTAGACAATGGAGGTCAGGCGATAATGATCAGCAGTCAAATGACATTGGTTGAGTGATGACAGTAATACAATTGATGCCAGGCTATAGTGATCGAAGATCGGATGATGACAGTTAAACAATGAAAATCAGAAAATAATAGTTAGGTGGCAGTGGTTGAACAACTATATTCAAATGACGATGATGACTGACAATGATCATCAACGTCAAACAATAAGGAGAGCTCTAGAGTTCTTCATATTTCTAAGCTCTCATTCATCTCAAGTCTAGATTCCCTTCACGTGGAGAATTGTGGTCTATTTATAATATCTTTAGCATTGTCAGTTTGAAAAATTTAGTCAAAATGTCATAACATTTTATCAAATTAAATGTCTCATCCGGAATCCTTTAATTATGGAGCATTTATTTATCATTTAAGCATAATAAAATGTCCTTCAGTGACTTATAAATATATATATATACACATGCTAATTCCTTTTTTATCCCAAACTCCTATAATTTCTAGAGGAGATATATGATGAAGTACAAAATAATTTAGAAAAGGAAATAAAATCACTTATTTCTAACTGTCACATTTAAATGATTAGCTAGAGAAGATTCAGATTTAAAATTCATGTAGTGGTCAAGTCAAAAGTCCACGATGATAATTATTTTCCAGCATATCCAAGGATAGTTTTCCAACTAATGAGTTTATATTCAAAAACAATGCATTCCCACTTAAAATTGTGTTGCAACTAAGCTGACTGTGCCCAAACACTAAGATAGTCATGAAAGTCCAACAAGAAAACCTTCGTGTTCCATAAAAAAGGCTACCTTGCGGAATAAGCATCAAACAGTGTTCCAAAGGTAACTTCAACAAACTGGTGAGATATATGCAGTGATATATGGATTCATAACTGATAATGAACTTATTTTCATTTTAAGAGAAATATTGTAATGAAATTACCTGACGGCAACTTATAAAGTAGCGCTTCTACCAATCTACTAAAACAAGCCTCGTGCTGGCAGCACTGCCCTTCAAATCAAACATACTAATCAAGCACGAAACCTGTTAAAAACAATCCTTATCTGCCTGTAGCATAGAAGTGTAGCGTTACTTAAAGAGTGCCCATTTTCTTTCAATGTGAAGCAGTTTTTCTAGTTCATTTTTCCTCCAAAGATGTTAGCTTGATTGTACCATGTTGGTTGGAAATAAGTCACAAAAACAGAACTTCATATTTGGTATAAGGCAGCTAATGACTGCTTTTTATCCATTACCAGAAATCGTTGCATGAGCATGTTCCACCAACAAACCGATGAAATCTAACACGGTCCCTTACAATGATCTCTCTACCATATTCCTGGCTTATAATTTTCGTCACTTCATGGCAGTCGGAGCAAAATCTGAGGTTCTTCACAACTCGAATCATTGCAGGTGCTTTAGTCTTTATTAGCCCAAAAGCAATAGCCAACCTTTCACTGTGCTCACAAAGAGCATTTTCCTTTTCCTCTTCATCTACATCATGCAAAACAGATGAAGTCCATGGCAGATGACCAGAAAATCTAACTCGCTTGGATATGGCTTTCAATTCTGCCCTAATCTGCTTGATCTCTGGGTGGGACTCATCACTTACTATAAATTTATGCACAAAACCATCAATTTCAATGTAGCTGCATCCTGGAGTAACCTTGATACCTTTTTCCTTCATCTTTTTCCTCATATCACTCACCTTGTCCCAATGAGATCTAAGGGCATAAATATTTGATAAAAGCACATAATTCTCTGCATTTAGTGGCTCTAACTGTAGGAGATGCTCAGCTATAATTTCCTCCTTATCTTGACCTCCATTTTTCTTACATCCCACAAGAAGTGTCCTCCAAATTACAGCATTTGGTGGAAAAGGCATCCTTTTGACAAATGAGTATGCTTCTTCAAAAAGGCCAGCTCGGCAAAGTAGATCAACCATGCATCCATAATGTTCCATCAGTGGTTCAATGCCTAAATCATGCATGGATGACCAAAACCTCCTACCATCTCTTACGAGACCACTGTGGGCACAGGCTGAGAGAGCACCGAGGAAAGTCACATTATTAGGTTTTACCTGAAAAATGATGGATAACCCTTTTACTAAACATTATTAAAAAAAATAAATAAAGTTAACCAATGTATATACCATGCTAGGTGTCCTTCACTGTTGGTACAGGAGAGCAGATGAAATACTATTGTATTAATTTCATAAGTTTAACTGTTACAGGAGAATAGGAGATGTATTATATAGAATAGAAGAGAATGTAATGATGCTGTTCTGCAATCCGTTAGAGACAGTCTGGCGTGACAGAGGAAATGGAGGCGGCTGGAGCAGTGTGATCCGTTGGGGAAACGTGGCTGAGTCAGCCCTGATGGTTGAGTGCGCTATCATCACCCCCGCAAGTTGATCGTCCGGTGGTTGGACGGTCAAGTTGGTACGAAGTGTATGAAAGCAAGCCGGAGAGAGCGCCTTGGTAAGAATGTCTACTGGCTGATTGACAGAGTCGATATGATGTAGTGCGACGACATTGTTCTTGATGTGTTCACTGATAAAGTGATAATCAATTTCGATGTGCTTGGTGCGAGCATGGAAGACGGGGTTGTTCGCCAATGCTAATGCGGATGTGTTGTCGCAGTGAATTGCCGTCGGCTGAAGCTGTGGTTCATTGAATTCTGCTAGAAGGCGGCATAGTCAGATTACATCCAAGGTGGCTGAGGATAAGGCACGATATTCAGCTTCTGTGGAGGACTTTGAAACATTGATTTGTTTATTAACTTGCCAGGAAAGTATATTGGGCCCAAGGAAGGAGTAGAAGCCGGTTATAGACTTACGATCTGTTTTGTCAGCGACCCAGTCAGCATCCACAAAAGTTTGCAGTTTGAGGTCACCTTTGATGAATGGAATGCCGTAATGTTGTGTGCCTTTGATGTAGCGGAGCAACCGCTTGAGGGATTGATAGTGTTGATTGCTTGGGTTGTGCAAATGCTGGCAAATTTGATTTGCGGCGAAGGCAATGTCGGGTCTAGTAATGGTGAGGTATTGAAGAGCTCCAGCTAATCTCCGATATAGGGTGGGATTGTCGAAAGCTTGGTCAGGAGACTGACATTGAGACAGTTTTGTAGGCAGTGGAGTCAGCGCAGGTTTGCAAGAGAGGAAACCGGAGGACTGCAGTAATTCGCGAGCGTAGGGAGCCTGATGCAGAAACAGCCCATTGGCGGTTCGTTGGATTTGAATGGCAAAGAACGTATGTACCAAGCCAAGTTCTTTCAGGGCAAATGTAGATTTCAGCTTGTGTAAGAGGTGCTGAATAGTGTTTGAGTCATTTCCTGTAAGAAGCAGGTCATCTATATAGATTAATACATAAAGAAAAATGTTCTTATGAGCATAGAGCAGCAATGATGGATCGGATTTGCTGAAGACGAAGGCATACATGGGTCGGATGAGCCGGATCAATGAAGCCTGGTGGTTGCTTCATGTAGACATCTTTATGTAAATCTCCATGTAAGAAGGCATTGGATATGTCAAATTGTAGAACTAGCCATTGACGTTGGAGAGCAATGATGAGTAGAATACGGATGGTGGGCATCTTCGCGACGGGACTGAAAGTTTCATTGTAGTTGACGCCGTGCTCTTGAGCAAAGCCTTGTTCAACAAGGCGGGCTTTGTGGTGTGCGACAACACCATTTGGATGAAGCTTAGTTTTGTATGTCCAACGGCAACCGAGTATGGGGGTGTTTGGTGGAGCTGGTGTTAGCGACCAGGTATATTGGTTTTGCAGAGCATTGAACTCATTGTTCATGGCTGCTTTCTAATGGGGTAGGACAATGGCTTGTCGAAAAGTAGAGGGGGTGTGGGATGGATTGGTGATGGCAGAGAGATCTAAAATAGATTTTGATTTTAGGTGACCCGTCTTGTAACGGGTTAGCATAGGATGAGGCATGGGAGTGGGAGTGTAGGATTAGGGTATGGGTGATGGTGATGAGGAATGAGATCTATGGGTGAAGGTGGATGAGGAAGATGGGGAGATGGGACTGTTGGATGAGATGTGGAATTGGGATGGTGTGGATATGGAGGTGGATGGAATGGAAGTTGGAATGGGATTGGGGGGTGAACTGAGGGTAGAGGTTGGTATAAGCATGACTGGTGGTGAGGTTGGATCAATAGAGGATTTGGAGGGAGACAGAGGAGTGGTTTGAAAGGGTAGAACTTGTTCATGAAAGACAACGTGGCGAGATATGTGGATTTTATGGGTGGAAAGGTTGTAGCAATGGTAGCCTTTGTGAGATGATGAGTACCCGATGAATAAGCATTCCTGAGAACATACGTGGTTGAAGTTTGTTTGAGGTTAAGGGGCGTAGCCACGGGAAGCAGAGGCAACCGAACTTTTGAGGTGGTCATAGGAGGGTAGGTGGTCATGAAGGCGATGAAAGGGAATTTGATAGTTGCAGGCGCTGGTGGGAAGGCGATTAATTAGATAGTTTGAGGTAAGTAGAGCTTCGGCCCAAAAAAATTAGGTGGTAGGTAAGCAGCTTGAAGAAGTGTGCGGGTTGTCTTGATGAGGTGGCGATTTTTGCGTTCGGCGAGACCATTTTGCTCCGACGTGTATGGGCAGGTAAGTTGGTGTGTAATGCCCTGTTTTGCGAAGAAGCTGCAAAAGGAGTGGTTGGTGAATTCACCACCATTGTCGGAGCGAAATGTAATTATGTTTGTTTTAAATTTGTTTGTGACCATTTTATGAAACTAAGAATTTTGAGAATGTTTGATCTTTAAAGTTCATCAAGTATACCCAGCAGTATCTTGTGTAGGTGTCGATGAAGGTGACAAAATATCTGTAACCATTCATGGAAGAGGTAGGGGATGGCCCCCAAACATCGGAGTGAACAAGAGCGAATTTGGTAGTAATATTTGATTTACTTAAAACAAAAGGTAACTTATGGCTCTTGGCCATGGTACATGGTTTGCATAAAAGAGAGCTAGATAAAGTACTACCAAAGGGAATTACATTAGCTAAATATTGCATAGTGCGAATGTTGGGATGGCCCAAACAGTCGTGCCATAGATTTGGGGAGAGCTGTTTGGAGGTGAGAGCGATTTGGGAAGGCTGAGAGGTTGAAATTGTGTACAGGCCATCACGAGCTTGTCCACGAAGCAGAACTTGGCAGTCCGTTCGGTCTTGAATGAGAAAGCCATGCGCATGTAAGGAAACAGAGCAGTTGTTATCGGAGGTTAGCTTATGTATAAATAACAAATTGTGGGAAAGTGATGGAATATGAAGAATTTGTTGAAGGAGGAGCTTACGCTGAGTATTGGGAAGTGGCAATATACCTTGGCCTTGGTTTTGGATAGGGAGGGAGTTACCATTGGCGATGGAGACTGAATCGGTGCCGTAATAAGGTTGGGATTACTGAAGAGCTTGAGCATTTGCAATTAGATGAGATGTGGCGCCGGAGTCCAATACCCAATCGGTGGTGGTGTTGGCATTGGGTTGAGAGTAGAGAGCCTTGGTTGAATCGATGGCTGAGTATTGGAGATTGAAGCGATGCCAGCATGTGAGCGCAGTGTGACCAGTCTTTCCGCAGGTTTGGCAAATCAGATGGACGTTATTGCTGGTCTCCGGGGGTCGGTTGGGAATGGCCGAGTGTGAGTTCCCGCGTCCACGATAGTTTCCTCTTCCTCTGTAGTTTCCTCTGCCACGGTTATTAGAGTATAAAGCCGTGTGATCATAGGAGGGATGTGTCTCGTGCTGCAGTTGATTTTGAATGTTGATTTATTCGCTGCACAAGAGCAAATAGAGGACGTCGAGACTGATGGGAAGTTGCGAGGTGCGAATTGCAGTCTTGAAGGCATTATAAGCGGGAGGCAGTCCATTAAGGATGTACATGAGGATGTCCTCTGAGTCGATGTGTGATCCGGCAACGGCTATATTGTCCACCAAAGTCTTGATTTGAGCAAGATATTGATTCATAGTGTTATCCTTCATTTGAACATTATGCAGTTCACTCTTCAGCTGGATTACCCTCGACCTGTTGGTGGGTTGAAGCCTGTTGGATAGTGTCGCCTAGATTTCACAGGTGCTTGAGAGGTGAAGAATGTAAGGTAATACTGAGGAAGAAATTGTGGATAGCAATGCAGAGACGAGGTTCTGGTCAATGAGCCTCCAGAGCCGGCTGTCGGCGTGGTCTTCAGGCTTGTTGGGGTGAGTTAGACTTCCCGTCAAATATCCCTCAAATCCGTTGGCTGCAAACAGTTTGTATATTTGCAAGCTCCAAATAGCGTAGTTCTCATTGTTGAGCTGTAGATTGACGATGGATTTCAAGTTGGACATCAGAAACTTAAGAGGAGGAGGTATGACGAACTCAGTCATGGAGGCAGAGATTGAGGATATCGGCGGTATTGTCGTTGAGGAGACCGGAGGTGTGGTCGCTGATGAATCTTGTTCGGCCATTGGCGGTGAGGCTTACTGCTCTGATACCAAGAAGAAAGCCCTGCGAAAATGTTTAAGGAAGAAGAGATAGCAGAGCAGATGAAATACTATTGTATTAATTTCATAAGTTTAACTATTCCAGAAGATGTATTATATAGAATAGAAGAGAATGTAATGAAGCTGTTCTGCAATCCGTTAGAGACAGTCTGGTGTGACAGAGGAGATGGAGGCGGCTGGAGCAGTGTGATCCATTGGGGAAATGTGGCTGAGTCAGCCCGGATGGTTGAGTGCGCTATCAATTCTCATAGGGTTTGTCTCATGGGCTTTATTGATGGATTCAATCCTTATCCATCACAAACATTAACCACTGTCGAAGGCAATAATCCAAACCCAAATTACTCTCTCTTGATTCAATAAGATTTGCACAAAACCAGTGTCAAAGTAGGCACAATTTCTCCAAAACATTTTATTTTCATTACATATCTTGTACATCATAAGAAGCTTGTAATACCCTAGCTGACAATTCTGACAAACCATCTCAATGGCACCTCACAAGTAGGGCTATAAAAAAAGCTCATCATTCGCTAACATCTAGGTCTCGATAGAAGCTCGTGTCAGACTCAATGATCAAGTAAGCAAGCCGAACAAG